GGGGCAGGAGGCGGAGGGCGGGGAGGCAGAGAGGGTGCTCCCTCTCGGGGTGCGGCCGAGCTGTCTGGGCGTTAGCAGAGGGGGCTTCTCACCGGGTGTGATGATAGACCCCAGGGGGCAGGGCCTAGCTCACAGCAGGGGATGAGTGATTCTGCTCCCCCCTGAGTCCAGGGGCCCAGCTGCACGCCCCTCTTCCAGGAAGCCCTCCAGCATGGGAGGCTCCATCTGACCCCCCCCCCCCAGGCCTCCTGCCCAACCAGATGCAGGCAGGCCCCCCGGGAGCTGGCAGAAATCAGGTCAGAAGAGGTTCCCAGGGAATTTATTGCCAGTCTATGCCCAGGGTCCAGGGTCACTGGACTCTGCTCTTCTTCTGGGGCAGAGGTTGTCTCCAGAGGGCCAGGAGGACAAGGAAGTTGATGGCAAACTGCACGTGGCCGAAGACAGGGACGCCAAAGCTGCGGTACAGGAGGCCGCCCAGGGTGGGCCCCAGCGTGCGGGTCAACGGCTGCACCGAGGCGCAGAGGCCCAGCATGGTCCCTGTGGGGTGAGGGGGGTGGTGTGAGTCAGGCCCGGGTGGGTCCCCAGTGTCACCACCCCAGCCACCCACTTCCAGAACACAGCAGAGGCCTCCACTGCCCGCGACCCTCCTGCTGCCCCGGCTCCCTCCCCAGGCCTGCGGGTCTGCGCCTGTGGACCACCCAGCACCAAGGGGCCTCAGTGTACATGCCCGGAAGTGGGGCTGAGCCTCTGCGCTGCCCCGGGAAGTTTCCAAGCACAGGTCACAGGCCCTGCCATCCCAGGCCACTGGGGAGATGGCCATGGACTCCCAGCAGAGTGAAACAGGGAAAAGTCCTCCTGAACCACGGTGGTGCGAGCTGGGGCTGGGGTGCAAGGCAGGCCGGGACACCCCCAGTGTCATTCCTACAGCCCCCAGCATCCTCGTCAGAACTGGAGGCGCGTTCCCCACAGGGCCGGGGAGGGGCACGAGAAGGGCACCCCAACTGCCTCTGTGCCCCCACTTCCCAGGTCCACGTAGCTGTCTGCCCCCCCCAAACGCCCCCAGTTACCCGACACCCTGTCTACACGCCCGTCTTGTCAGCTGTGCCTTGTGTGGGCGAGCATGTGCTGGCTACTGTCAACGTGGACATCTGCCCAGAGGGTCCCCAGCCCCAGGGGCGTCAGAACCCAGGACCCGAGTTGGAAAGCCTGGCCAGGAGCTGCCTGTTGAGGCCCCGCCCGGGCTCAGGGCCCGCGTGGGGGAAATTTAAGAGCTGCCTCTCCCATCGCCCACACGCCCTGCAGACTCCCGGGAGCAATTACCGCCCCCTCTGGTCTCCGGTTCCCAGGCTGCTGCTGGGAACCTCCTGGCTCCTTCCAAGCTGAGGGGTGGGGCCTTGGGCACAGTGAGGCCCAGGCCAGGCCCTGCCCTCCTCTCCCCAGGCCTTGTTCCCCGGCCCCTTCCTCCTGGTCTCTGCAAAGTGCTGACCCACCACCTCCAGGAAGCCCTCCAGACCCAGCCTGGCCTCCCAGGACCACAGAGCCACAGGTGTGAAAGGCCCTGGAGGCCCCCAAGGCAGCCCTGAGAAGAGGCCTAGCCTGTCAGCCGCCAGGCCTCCCCCTGTCCCCCCAACAGACAGGTGGATGATCTGAAGGTCAGCCAGGCCCCCCTAAGCTTTCTGGCCCTGCTACTGGGGAGACCTTCACCCTCAACCAGCTCAACCTGTACTATGCCCAGGACAGGGTAGGGGCACTGTCGGGCTTAGGGACCCCCAGTCTGGATGGGAGACTCCTAAGCCTCAGGAAAGAAAGCTGGGTGCAGAATGAGGGCTGGAGGTTCATGTCTGGGGGCGCCTGTGTCCCACTAGGCGGCCTGAGGCTGCCTAGATTTAACGAGCTGTGTGCATTCAGTCACTCGGCACCTGCACACCCCTATGAGCCGCCCATGTCCTGGGGAGAGGAGAGCAGGCCGCCCAGCAGGAAGCCCACCCCCTTTCTAGCCGTCTCTCCCATTCTCCACCCACTGGGCTGGCTGTCTTCCTCCCTGGCCTCTGTAGCAGCCTTTCAGGTCGGCATCTCTATACCTTTGCTTAGCTGGGGCCCAGCCTGGAAAGCCATCTTCACTCCCCATTTCTCGTGCAATCCTGACCATGCTTTACAGCCAAGCCAGACACCACCTCTGGGAAGCCCTCCTCCCATCCCCCTGGACCGGTCTGCAGGGCCGGGTGCAAGGCTGGCTGGGCCCAGACGGGCTGGGTAGTGGCCAGAATCGCCCCTGAGCCTTCTTTCGGCCCTCCACTCCACCCTGCCCACTGAGACCCCAGGCCACCCAACCCACTGCCTGGGTCCAGGCAGACTCAGCCCCAAATCGGGACAGCCGTTGCACCTGAAAGCACTCAGCAGGCTTCCCAGAGAGGCGGGCTGAGGTCTCCCCAGGCCTGCCCCTCACCGGGCTTGGGGTGCTGCCCTTACCTGTGTCTGAGGGCGACACGGCCTTGGTCAGGATGCTGTCGGTGACCACGTTGAGGGCACACAGGCTGAAGATCAGGCCCGGCATCAGGAGGCAGAAATGGAGGATGCTGGACATCCGTGCCTGGCACAGGGCAGGGCAGGGGCCGGGGTGACGGGAGGACCAGGGGACCAGGCAGGGCAGGGGCCGGGGTGATGGGAGGACCAGGGAACCAGGCAGGGCAGGGGCCGGGGTGACAGGAGGACCAGGGGACCAGGGCAGGGGGGGCCATCCCTGGTTCCATAAGCGTGGCCCTGGGTGGGGGTGGGGCCCAGTGGCTCAAGTGCAAACTGAGCAGGTGCAGAGGGTGGAGTGCGCCCGGGACCACGGTCTTTGCTGGGGGGGCAGCCTGACGGGGTGCTCTCACCATGGCCAGTCCCACCACGCAGAAGACCAACACGCTAGCCCGGAGCAGCGCTCCTTCTGAGAAGTGCTTGTTCAGCTGCCCGATGACCAGGCCCTGGGTGATCTAAGAGGGGGGGCGAGGAGGAGTCTGGGCTGCGGTCACTCACCCCTGTGGCTGGGGAACCCCCCCAGCGGCAGCCCAGCGTCTAGCAGCGGCGGCCAGGTCCAGGGTAGCAAGCAGGGTGGCCCCACGGTACCCATGAGGCTCCAAGGTCCTGAGGGAAGGGGGTCTGGGTACCTCACACACATGCACCCCCACACGTGCACGGCCAGCCACTCATCGGTCCTATTTTCACATTCAAGACGAATTTCGTCTCTTTAATTTCAGGTGTGATAAACATATTTTAACCCAAGAAGGGCCCGTGAACTGCTGATGGAAGGGTGGGGAAGGCAATGGTTCATGGTGCAAAAAAGTCCTTTCATTTGAAAATGCTCACTGTGGCCCTACGTCCAAGCCTGGGGACCCTGTGGCCCTGTGTCCACATGTGTCACCCCTCCAGTGTCACCTGGTCCCCATGTGTCCCCTCCCCATGACCACGCTTCCTCAGCCCCTCTTCAGTCCTCTCACCTGGGACGTAGGGCCTGCCCACTTCACAGATGGAGTGACCAGGGTGCAGAGAGGAGGTGGTTGCATGGGACCTGAGCCCAGGGCCCAGGTGCCCATGTGGGTCCTCTGCCTGGCTGGCCCGACCGAGGCCTGGTCCTGGCAGGCTCATCAGCTACCGTGCTGGGGACTGGGCCAGCAGCTCTGCGTCCTCCGCACACCGTAGGAGACCACCACCCCAGTTACAGCCGGGTAAACTGAGGCCCAGAGGCTGACGTCACTTGCCCACCAGCAAGTGCCCGGTCCTGAGCCTGATCAGGTGAGATCCCTGGAGGCAGGGGGCAGCCAGGCTGCTCGAGGCCACCTGCTGTTACCCCACTGTCGCTCAGGTCGCTCAGCGCTCCACTCCCAGCTGTGTCCTCCTTGCCTCCCCAGGGCATGGCCAGCCAGCGAGGACGCCTGCTCTGTGCTCCCCTCCTGCCCTCAGCTCCTCGAGAGGGTGGAAGGGCCAACAGCAGGGACACCGAAGATGTGACTCAGTGGGCAAGCCCAGCCCAAAGGCCGCTCCCAGGCCAGGGTGAGGCTCCCTATCTGGTCCGCTCACCTCCTCTGCCAGGCAGGCAGGCAGTACCTGGGGCGCCTTGGGCTTGGCGCAGTGCACAGGGGGGCTTGGGGGCGCGCAGGCTGGGAGTCGGTGACCCCCTGGGCTGGGGTCAGTGCTGGCCTGGGCTGCAGGGTGGGCTGGGGTACATGCCCTGGGCCCAGCCGTGCAGAATGGACTGACCACTCTCCTCACCCCATGCCCCTGGCTGGCATCCCGAAACTATGTCAAATCAGAACCATAAACGTCCTACTTAGAAGCAAATCCTACTTTCAGACTTGCTTTATCCCTCTTCTCGTGTGTTTTAAAGGAAGATCTATGTGGCAATGTCCTTGGTCCCCTGAGAGGAACCACAGTAAACGGGGGGACCCGTTTACATTCGGCCTCGGCACTTCATACAAACACAGAGACCTGACGTATTGGCGGTGGTGTCTCTCAGTTGTCCCATTCACTGAAACAAAGCCGAAACGTGTGTGCCTTACCGGCTACTACATGAAACTAAACCAACACGCCAGGTGTCTCGCTTTACCCCACCCTCCATTTGGAGCTCCTGTCCGTCCACCCCCCCGCGGCCCCAGCCACTGCCCTGTCCCTGGCCTGAGCCTCCACCGCCTCCCTCAGTGGACCCCTTGGTCACCTAAAGCACCCCCTTCTCTCCCACCAGCTGGAGCCAGGGCACCTGGAAAGACCTTGTCCAGCCTGCGGCCACACTGCGCTCCAAATAAATCCAGTCCTTCTTGGCCCTGCAGACAACCCCCCATCAGAGCCTGGTCCTCTCCCCTCAGGCCGGCGTGTGTCCCCACCTGAGGGTCTGCGCACGTGCAGCCCGTCTGTGCCCCGCGGAGCCCGTCTGTGCCCCGCGGCTCTCTTGCCTGCGGTCTCCGCTCTGCTCCAGCGGAGCCACCCTCCCTCACACAGCGTCTCCTGCTGTTAGTTACCCTGACGCACCAGGAGCGTTCATGGTTGGGGGCCTGTCTTCTTCCCCCCAAGTGTGCTGGGAATCCCCATGATCAGGGTGGCCTGAGCCTGGGGCGTAGATGAACGCGGGGCGGGGGTGGGG